GAACTTTCTTGATATAATATTATATCTTGATTTTTCTATGTGAATTATCTTGGTATATTACCTTATGTAATAAAAAGGTTACAAAAATAAAAATAAAAAAAATTATCTTATAATAATAATAAAATATATTATATATAATTATATAATTTTAATTATTAAGTAAATTTAAATTAATATGATCTGAATTTACAATATAATTTACATATATATCCTGCTTTAGCATTTCTCTTAAAATAGTAGTTGCTATATTGGCGCAGCACGTGACTAATAGTATAATCACGTGATTATATAACGATCACATGACTATTATGTAATCACGTGAGATTTTTCGAGATTATTTTATTTAGATTATTTCATTAAATATTATATAAATTTACTATATAAATTAAATATTTGTCACAATTAACTAAAAAACTTTAGTTTTATTAAAGTGATTATTTTTTTATAGAAGAGAGATATTATACAAAGTATTTTATAATAATACAGAATAAAATTCTATGAAAAGATAATATTATACATTTTTATAATATATTTAAGAATTAGGCAAAGATTTAAACAAATACTTATTATTTCTTTTATCGCACTTAAAGAAGGCTTATAAACAAAACCGTCTTCATCATCTTCCTCCTCGTTACCATCATCGTTAGCCTGACCACCATCGTCAATAGTATCGTTACCAGTGTAAATAAATTTCTGCTCGTCTTCGTCATCTTCAGTAGACGAATGATCATATTTTCCATTTTTGCTCAAATCAGCAAATGCTAAATTCATGTTATTAACAGCAGGAGATCGAGGGACAAAAGCGTGTGCATGAGAATTGAGTGAAGGCGCCGCTAATGATGGCGCAGATCCTGAATGTTGTATGGGAATGGACGCAATGCCATTGCTACCTAATTTGGAACTGGTACGATTGGGGATAGGAATAGATTTCGACGGGGGGAACATTGATTCATTAAGGGTCGTTGTTTGATCATCTATCATTTCGGTGCTAGTAGATGATTTTATTATAAATTGGGTGATCGCTAGCTCAGTCGGCCTTTCAGTTTCTTTTATACTATTTATACTATTAGTATTAGTCATAGGAAGATTCGTGATCTTGGCAGACGATTCATCCAGTTCATTATATTTTATTATAGGAAGAGATTGCTGCGATGAAGTGGAAGAAATAGAAGGTAGCTTGCTCAACGACTCCTTAAGATCATAAGTAAATCCATTTGGTTTATCAATCAAGTTTCTAATTTTATCAGGTTTTTTTATCGTAAGGTCATTCAACGAAGCTTTTACTACTTCAATATTATCACCACTGTCCGAACTTGCGA